AAATACAAAGTAGAACAGAAAAAAAGAAATGGAGAATGGGTCTTACTGTTTTCCTAAAATTAAAATAGTGGCATTTTCCTGTTATTTTCACTGAAGCGTATGTGCGAAGAGTAAATACAGTGTTTAATTTTGGATCTCTCAGTCATCTATGTGGATCTATTTCTTATAAAAAATTCCAGATTATGGCCAAAATGTTTATGTAGGATAACTTTAGCATAGGTGGAAGTAGTGTTTCCTAAATTGCCTGTCAAGAATGACTTAATCCTACTTTGCAGGAATTGCGTGTATCAGTGAGACACATTCATTTCCATACTCATTTAGGAGACTCTGCTGAGAATGTCAAAGAGATGCTAATTATTATCAGCTATGGTGATCCCTTAGGAATTAGGCTGGGATTGAGAATCCACTTAATTACTGAAGTTACACAATAGTAAAGGATTAAAGTTAGGAATTCTTCTCCCTTTTTTTTTTTTTTTTTTTTTTCCCCTTTTTTTTTTTTTTTTTAAATTATCGTGGCTTGGGAAGCAGCTGACAGTCAGTCCTGGTACTCACCTCTTTAGGAAATCATTCTGTGACCACTTTGTCCTTTTTCAGCCCAGTTTATCTGCTACTGCTGCTATGCAAGGGCAGAAGCAGGAGAGGCAGTAATTGTACTTGCAGCCTGGTTGTTTCCCAAAGAAACCAACCTAGAGAAATTGGCAAGACTCTTGAGCAAGGGACTGTTTTATAGTTAAGTAAGAAGAGACAGCAGAACTTGCAAGTTCAGTTGAGTACCTATGGCTTCATCCTGGTTCAAACCAGAACAGGTAGGTTTGTTTCTTTAGTTTTCTTTCAGATTGAAAAGTGAATATTATAGATTGGAATGTATTTATTTTTAAATAATTAACTTGTGTATATCAAAATAAAATAATGCAGAAGTCTATTTTAAAAATACAACTGGACTGCCTATCTTTAGCCAAGCTACAGAAATTAATTTTTAAATGTCTAACTTCTCAGAGATCATAATGCTATGTTAGTACACTAAGCAATGCCAGGGTCTAACCTCAATGCTGGCTTTTTGAGCCAACCTATCTTTCCCCTTTCATTACTCACATGTTCCCTGCAACAATTTTGCTTTACACCTGCTCAACCAAGCAGTTGCCCGGGTGGAGTCAAGCAACAATAAAATATCAAGCATATTTATTTAAAGTCTTACTTCTTCTTCATACATATATTCTTTTAGTACTTGGACTATGATTCCCTTTCTTGCTCTCATATCAGTCTTGTTTCTTGCAGTTATTCACCTGCAGAGGGTACTTTGTATATTGGGAATATTTCCTTTTCTAGACTAACATTCATTGCTTTAAGTGGCTTAATTAACAGGCTTTCATCAAACAATATTCTTGTATCTATTTAAATTGGTACTGTTCTTCTCAAAGATCTAATAATTATTCATATTTATTGCATGAAATCAAAGTAAGAAATTTAATTTCATGAGAAGTCAAGGCTTTACTTCCTTAAAATGGTGATAAAATTTAGAAAGAAAAGATTTTCAGAATGAAAAACCGGGTTTATGTTCAAGACTGCCACTTTTTCAAATGATTTTGTGTCAAGCAATGAGTAATATTTAGTTGAAGCTTTTTTTGGCTTTTAGTCAAGTACTATAAACTAATTTAGTAATGGGAATTATTTTGGAGCAGCAATAGTGGGTGTGTGTTAAAAGTCTTATGGTGATACATGATAGCAGTTCTGACTTCAGAGGTAATTGGGTTTAAAAGAAAGAAGCAAAGAAAATGGAAAAACCTAAGCCTATGGTGCTCTACTGCTATTAAGTAAGTTCGTATTCTAGACTGCCTGAATGAGAAGGCCTCCTCTTGGTATTATTGAAAGAAACATTCTCACAATAGATATCGTCAGCTTCAATGAAGAAGTTCACTTGAATAATTTAGATAATTTTATTTTATTCTGCTTTCATATAAATGATTAGATTGAGATATTTAGTAGAAAACTGAGACGCTTTACCAGGATGAAGTTAGCACAGGTGGCATGCTGCAAAGACAAACGTTTCTCTTCCATTTTTCTCACTGCGGAACCTGTGAGACTGTTGTAGAAGACAAACAGGATTTGTGTCTGTGTGATGCTGAGCATGAGTACCATAAGCAACCATTGCATATTACACAACTGAAAGCAGAGGGATGTTATTTATTTAACATCAGCATTATATAGGTTTTACATATGTAGCTAACCTCTGAATCTACTTTTTGACAAAAGCAGAGAGTGTAGGAGGAGAACAGCAACAAAGTAGGGTAAGAACTGTGATAGTACAATTAATTCAAGGTTGTTTCCTCCTTGTCTGTAAAATATTTTACGTGTATTAATTAAGAAAGGGCTGTCTTTAGGAAGTGATGTTGGAATATTTAAAATAGTATTAATGTAAATGTTAAGATATACTACCTTGAACAGACTGGCAGTAATTAGGAACTAACCATCATGAATATATTTTCAACATTTATCACTGGAAAGATATGCATTGCTAGTTAAAATGTTGTGTGGAGCATAAGTGCCATTGTAAGCAGTTGGACTGGCTCTAGGAAGCCTCTGTTTACACGTTTAATTTAGCAGCATTCTTGGTCAGAAAAACATTTATTTGAGAAACAGTGAAAATATTACTAGTTACATATTTTCTTCCTGTTTCATTTTCAGTAGACGTGGATAACAACTGTGAAAGGAATGAAGAATTAAGACACATTATTTAATTTCTGTGAAATTCTTTGGTATTGAATCTCACATTATTGTGTCTTTACTCCATATAAGGATTATTCCTTCCTAAACTAACAGAAAGTAATAATCAGGGAGGTTATCCTAACATCAGCCGCTTCAATCACCACATTATTATTTAACATATTTCAGTTGAAATGTGTGCTGTTCTGGATATAATTATCTTGAAAATTCAAAGTAATCATTTTTATTTTTTTTTATCAAGCAGGCATACCAAATCAAGCATGCTAGAAAATGTTGATAGCTGGAATAAAAATGCCTATATATCTTCTGAGTGCATTAACAGCAAAGGAAAGGAGGGGTTTAGCTTCAGGAAGGATCCAGTTGTCTTGACATTTGAGTTTCAAGTAGAAAACTCCACATCAGAGAGGGGTTTGTTTTTTCAGTGTAGTTTATTCAGTACCAATGGAAATTAAAATTGCAGTTGAATGAACTGGACAGAACCTACTTTACTAACCTTCAGCAGAGGAGTCAGTGGAAACTTTCATGGGTTTCCCAGTTTCAGGTTGTGAGGTGGTGGGAATTCTACCTGTTTTTCTTTCAGTCACTTCAAAGGGCTGAGTTTGAACAAGGGCCACCTGTTCGACAGGTAAATCAGTAAGCCTGTTTTGCCACTTTTTATGCACAGTTTTACTCCACATGAATGCTTTATTCCAGGCAGATGGACATGGTAGCAGAATGACTTACATTACAAAATATTGATCACAGCAGTAAGCTTCCCTCAAGAGTTTATCCTAATGAATACTGAACATTAATTAAATAATTTGTGTTGTTGTGAGTGTGTATTGCTGTCCATACTGAACAAAGCTGTGCAGTAGGCAGAACACTTAAGCTCCTTTCCCTGTGCCACATGCACATAGAATCACAGAATTATAGAATTGCAAGGCACCCCTGGAGATCAAGTCCAACCCCCCTGCCAAAACAGCACCACCTAGGGCAGGTCAGACAGGATTGCATGCAGGTGAGTCTTGAAAGTGTCCACAGAAGAGGGCTCCACAACCTCTCCGGGCAGCCTGTTCCAGTGCTCTGTAACCCTCACAGTAAAGAAGTTTGGACAGAACCTACTTTACTAACCTTCAGCAGAGGAGTCAGTGGAAACTTTCATGGGTTTCCCAGTTTCAGGTTGTGAGGTGGTGGGAATTCTACCTGTTTTTCTTTCAGTCACTTCAAAGGGCTGAGTTTGAACAAGGGCCACCTGTTCGACAGGTAAATCAGTAAGCCTGTTTTGCCACTTTTTATGCACAGTTTTACTCCACATGAATGCTTTATTCCAGGCAGATGGACATGGTAGCAGAATGACTTACATTACAAAATATTGATCACAGCAGTAAGCTTCCCTCAAGAGTTTATCCTAATGAATACTGAACATTAATTAAATAATTTGTGTTGTTGTGAGTGTGTATTGCTGTCCATACTGAACAAAGCTGTGCAGTAGGCAGAACACTTAAGCTCCTTTCCCTGTGCCACATGCACATAGAATCACAGAATTATAGAATTGCAAGGCACCCCTGGAGATCAAGTCCAACCCCCCTGCCAAAACAGCACCACCTAGGGCAGGTCAGACAGGATTGCATGCAGGTGAGTCTTGAAAGTGTCCACAGAAGAGGGCTCCACAACCTCTCCGGGCAGCCTGTTCCAGTGCTCTGTAACCCTCACAGTAAAGAAGTTTTTCCTCATGTTGCAGTGGAACTTCCTGTGTTTCAGTTTGTGTCTTTTGCCCCTTGTGCTACCACAGGGCGTGATTGAAAAGGGACTGGTCCCTTCTTCTTGACACCCACCCTTCAGATGCTTGCAAATCTTAGTAAGATCCCCTCTCAGTCTTCTTTTCTCTTCTCTAGACTGAACAGCCCCAGGTCTCTCAAATCTTCCTCAGCTATTCTATAGGTGACAAATGTTAACTTCAGGTAGGTGGAACTGAGCTCTGTAGGCTACCTTTTTGGTTACTGTAGAGTCTGCAAGGAACAACAAGGAGACAGACTATCAGTGTATTTCTGGTGTAAAACTGCCCATCTTTCTCTCCACTGACTATGAAGAGATGTTGAAGAAAGCTTATCTGGTTTAAATCTGGTCTTTAGAAATTTCTATTTATGTCATCAATCTGTTTTGAGACATCTGTCTCACACCTGTCACATCTGAGCCCATCTTAGCAGTACAGATACATTAATAAAGAGAAACAAATATTTTTATAATTGTCTTGTAATACTTCAGATTCTTTTCAGCTTTGGTCTTTTTTCTTTTGGCAGCACCAGAACGAAGGGATTCCCTCCTGGTTAGCCCAGATGTTCTTGATACTGCTCCAAGGAGAAAGCGAAGACAAAGGACAACAAAGGCTGCCAGGACAGGAGCTAAGGTGGCTGCTTATGAGACAGAACTGCCAGCCAAGGAAAAGTAGGAAGTTTTCAAATGTTTTTAAATGTTGTTATATCTACAGCTGACAGAGGGTTTGTGATTTGGGGTTTTTTGTGTGCTTTCTGTGCAGTTACGTATTTCAGACCAAGTAGTGTTGTGTTGCATTCCATGTAGTCATTTACAGTAATTTTACACAATTTCTAATAGATGTGAATGAATAAATTTTCAGGCCCAATTACATTGATTTTAGTACACCACTAACATCATGATTTTAAAATTATTTTCTTTTATTGACTTGGATAACTTTAAGAAAGTAACAGAAGCCTACCAAAATTATGCTCTGTAGATTACAGTATAACTCTGCAAGCAAAGAAGGATGCATTTATACCAAGTGTCAAACCAAGGTGGATAGCTTATGCTAAGCTGTGTCACAGACAGTAGTAACATTATGAGTGTTTTGTTTCATGATGAGGATAGTCAAACCCAGGAACAGGTTGTCCAGAGAAGGAGCTGAGTCTTCATCTGTCAAAATACTCAAACCTGACTAGGTGTGGTCCTGTACAATCTGCTGTGGTTCAGGAGGGAAGCAACCTCCATAGGTCCCTTCCAACCTTACTATCCTGTGAGTCTGTCTTTATAATTTCAATAGAAATTAATTCACAATATCATTTTTAAAAGACTAGAGTAGATTTATGTTGAAAATAAGACCAATGGGGAGAAAAAAGAACTCACTCTAAAATAGCATGTCAGAATTCATAAAACGTAATAAAAAATTTTTATGTCACTCTCAAATTCTGGAAATATTTTCACATGATCTGGGAGGTGCTTAGATATGTACAGAATTACTTTGGGGTTGCAATATGATTGGTGGTGTTTTCTTCAAAAATTGATTATTTTTTTTTAAGATCTGTAATAATTTAGATTTGAAAATACTTATTTTCCCTTTTTATCTGTGATATCCAGTGGATAACAAACTGTTAAAACAGACATGAACACAAGTAAGCTATAAAGACCTTTGCCATGATAAGCAAAGATTTCTGCTTAAATCAGCAAGGGAATTATTTTGATATAGAAGTTTCTATTTTTTTAGAATGGTCTGGAAAAATGTCAAATTCTTCTATTCTTTTAGAGTCTAGTATATTATAATAAACAATGCCCTTTCCCCATTGAATGTAGCTGGCTTGCTTTTGAGAGTCTGACTGTGCTTGCCTGAAATAAAATTTAGTAATTTTTAGTATTGATTGTGGAAGGAAAGCCTACAGAGACAAATTATTGCTGAGGACATAGAGAGGCCTTGGGCTGAGAATTCCTCTGTGTGTGAATATATGAGTCCTATGTGTAGGGGAAGGACAAAGAGTACATCAATTTATCAATTTTTTAAAATTCCTTTGTGTAAGGCAAAGTGTAAAAAAAACCAGAAAAATTGTGTTTTTCATACTATGCAAAGTATTTCTAATTTACTTACAGGATTGAGTCAGAGCTCAGTCTGAAGAGTGGTACTTCTTCTTGGCTGTAAGATAATTAGTCACATTTTAAAGCTTACTATATGGAACATCCATTCTTTCAGTCTCTACTCCTGTTTTTCTTTTTGCATTAAGTACTTGTGAATTGTATTGTAAACAATAGCTTTGCACTACAGGTGACAACATTGTTTGACATGTGACATTCCTCCCAGTGCTGTGAAGGTGTATCTGACAGTGAAAGATCCATGTTCCTATACGATCCAGTGGTGACTTAAGAAATCAAATGTGATATTTCTCAATACTGGAATGTTTTTTAATTCTTTCTATAGTTAGAAATACAGCAGCAGTGCTATATAAGTGTATAAGTGCAAGGTGAGAAGATACTAGATCTCCCTATTTACCTGAATGTAGCAAAAGCCACTGTAATCACTTCAATTTTGATGATTATTTTTCTCAGCGTCCCTCCTTAGTTCTAGGGTTTTGAACTCATTTTAAGTCTGTTGTCAGCTGCTAATCAAGCTTTCAGTCAATTTGCTTGGCTAATAATTTTCACTTCTTTTCAACCTGTCAGAAGTAGGGTGATGTAGAATTAGTATCATAATCCAGTTCACAAATATAAATGTTTCTTTTTATTAAGCCTGTTCAGTATTTTGTACTGATGGAAGGCTAGATCCTACCCAGTGTGAAAGGCTTTATCTTAAGCTGACGGTACATTGTGGTCCTGCCCAAAATGTTTTCCAGTGTTGGGTCACTTATCAAAAAATCACTAATCCAAGCAAACCACCACAGCCTGCTGGGGCAGCAGGGAGGTTGGGAGATAAGTTAATCTCCAAATTCCTTCACCTTTGGAAATGCTCCACCACAAATATGGAAGATGTAAAGCCCTTGAAAGCATGTCACGCTTGTCTGTTTGGCACAGGGATCAAATGACAGATTGTGATCACGTTTGCAAATGCACAAATGAATCCTTATTTCTGAGCTCTCCTGCACAGACCTGCAGGAAGATTTTATTCTTTACTCGTAATGTAAATACTTCAAGGTGCTATCGCATAAAATCATATCACACAGTTCTTGCTTTCACAAACTAAAGCTTATTTAGGATTAATTTTCATTTGCAAGTTCTGCTGACATCATCCATGCTTGTCTCATGTTCGCCAGGCAATCCAAGGGCAGTCACAAACCAAACATCAAGGGCATAATGCTGTCTTTATGTTGCTGCATGCTAAGTTGACTGATACAAGGTCCTAAAACAGAAGAAAAAATACTTCTTTACTGAAGGAGAGCATCCAATTTTTATTTTCGTTTTGGCTTTCAGTTTGTTTTTTGAAAATACAGTGTTTTTCAACACACTCGTTATCTCATAATAGGAATTATATCTTAACTTTTATATATTTCTCCTAAGATTTTAAGTTATGATAAGAAAATATTGTTTATGCTTAAAGTTAAGAGAATCTGAAGTACATACTGAGTCATGAAAAATGAAAGGATTTTATTTCCACAAATATTTTAGATTTATGAATGTTGAGGCTAGTTTAGTAGCAATTGTCTAGTCCTTTGGAATGAAAATATATTCTTAGATATGCACATGAATAGTGAGAAGAATGCAAATAAAAATCTGTTTAACACAGAAATTAGAGCAAAAGGGGTACAGCCTTTTTCATTCTTTGCATGTGAGTGCAGTGTCAGGAAAAGAAACTGAATTTTGTTTATATAGATATGTAGCATTACTGTGACAATGTATTCAAGGACTAAATCAGCATTTTAAATGAAACTCGGAAATGTGCTCCCTATAATACTGAGCTTAGACATGAGATCAGCAAAGAGCTGAACTAGGATTTATGGAACAAGATTTGCTAAATTAACTGCTTAAGTATTTGCTGAGATAAAGATGTTCTTAACAATAAAGCAGAAATTCAGAATAATGAGTTGGTCAGTGAACTGCCAAGACTGAGGTTTATCCAGCTCTCTAGCAGGTTGTATTTCTGAGGTACCAAATAAAAGGTAATAATTATTTAGGCAGACAGATGTTACTTTATAGTTGATAATAGTCAAACTATGGCTTGCTATTTACACATTTCTAAAATGTGTCAAAGAATGGATATTGCAGTTCAAGACAGAATTAAGTCAGGAAGTGAAATAAATTATTCTGATTCCAGTAAAATGTGATGGTATTGGTGTTAACTGTAACTTAATATATGGCAATTTCCTAAGATGCAAAGTAGAGATAATATGTAAGTCAAGTTAAGATGCAAATTCTACTTTTCACAATTTGCATTTCATACTTGGAAGAGAAAAACTAGTAAAACCAATCCCAATCTACAGTTAGAAATTATGCTTACTGATGCATAACCTACATCTCTTAGGGGACTGCTTATGAATAACACTATTAACTACATAGAATATGCATTCAATATAGAGACTTAAGTGTATGGCCTGTCAGCCTGAATCATATAAATAACTGGAAGTTGCTATAATAATTTTACTTGAAAAGTATTGGAACCTGTTTGAGAGAAGATAATACTTACTGAAGATTAATTTTTTTCTGTATATAAAATTGAAATGAAGCATAGACACTGGATACAAAATACTTTTTGTAGCTTGTATGATTTGCAGTCACAGGCTAGACTGGAACCCAGCCAGTGCCTGAGTTTCTATAACTAAAACAAAAGTAAATCAGGAAAACCTTCCTTTCCTAGTATAGCTTACAACTAGTACTTTGTTTCCACAAGAAAAATCTTTCTACTTTGGTTAATCAAAATTGTTTTTGTTTAAGTAGGTAAGAAAAGCAAATGCTTTTTTTCTGCTGTTTCTAACTAATAAAGGATCTAGTTTCATGGTTCTCATTCACACATTGGTGTTGTAGGAGGAAGGCTTTTCTGGATAAGAATCCAAGTTCCTTTAAGTTCTTGTCTGTTTCAAAATGTAATCTGTTTCAGACACAGCATAATGTTTGTGATTGCTTTGCTACTGTTCAGAATACATAGAATTACAGGACTGATTTGGGGGAAAACACTTTAAATACAGGAAAAAAAATATTACGGATGCAAATATGCTGGATTCTTCTAATAATGAGTAGAGACAGCCAACAAATATTATTACAGAGAAAGTGCTTCAGAATTTTAGGAAACAAGTGTTAAGAAATACTTTTACTTCAACTGAGAAATAACAGGTATTATTTGCTTATCTTTTCTATTAAAAAGTACATGTGTACACCAAGTACTTTGAACCTGAGTTACTAGTTATTCTGCATATTAAAAATTTCAGATTCATATTTCTAAGTCTCGTTTTGTACATTTGTCGTAGCCATTACTGTCTTATTTAATATATATATTGAAGTTTTATTTTTTCTGGCTTGATACTTCTTGCTTTGTTGCTAAAACTGGATGACTATCAGAATGAGGCCTGCAATTAAATTGAAGAAAAGAGATGCTTTCCCTTACTTTCAGTTTGGTTTTGCTGAAATATTGAGGTGCAGTCATAGCCCCACTGAATTTTATAAGATCTTTGCTATCTTCATTATGTATCAGGGCTGCTTTTTCAGATTGCTCAAAGTGTTCAACATATTTCTAAGGATCC